TAAATTAACCTATAGGTCTCAGTACGTTTTCACCTGATTCTCATTCTTCAAAAGGGGCGCAAAATTTCCAAAAAAGGGGCACCAGACTTGCTTCAACTCGTTGAGGGAGGGGCAACTGCCCCTAGTTGCCCCCTTAAATCCACCACTGCCCTACACAGAGGAACAGTAGCGGAAATGCGGTTCAACGATACCATTATATATTTGGCTAAGAATTTCTTTGGGTAGTATTTTCTTAGCATACTTTAAAAACCCTATTACACGAGAGACCTTAGCACGCAAGAATCTAGTGTGCTCATCCCAAACAAGATGTCGATCAAGCTGAATTCCCAAGTACTTAGTTTTCTCAACAATCTCAATCTGTGAGTCACCTATAGAAAAGGAGGGGGGCCGAACTTTTCCTTCAGAGATCTTTTTAAGATTAGGTCGAGATCCTACAACCATAGCTTGAGTCCTAATAACATTTAAAGATAGTTTATTACCTCGAAGCCACTGCTTCAGACAGTTCAAGACTCTATTTAGGTTATCATTGAGATCATCGATGTTATTGGAAGAATATGATATGGTGGTATCGTCTGCATACATGGTAACCTGACTGTTTTGAAAAGCAAATGGCAGATCATTAATATATCAAAAATAGAAGAGGACCAAGACAAGAGCCTTGTGGCACCCTACAATTTATGTTTTCAAGCTTTGAGGACACGCCATTACACGTTTTTTATAAGAAAGTATTTTATAAAAAAGTTGTGCTCGGTTCTTCAAAAAGTTAAGGGCTGGATCTTTGAAACCCAAGAAAGTTGAAAAATTTAGGTATTCAACGTTTCAAAGGAATTTGTGGTGTAAGAGTGGAATATTTCAACAATACAGTAATGTGTTGAACAGGAAACGACGAATACAGTATGACGTTGAGGGCTATTGAGAAATATAACATATTCATAGCATTTCATCTTCTCCATCACTGCGCATGCTTAGTAACGTAAAACTTTTCAATTTTACGTTAGGAAAGTGTTAAGAAAGTTTTAGTGCTGAAATTAGGAAATAGTTAAGAAAGTCTGAGGGCTGGGCTGCAAAAAACTTTTTTATAAAAAAACGTGTAACCCTACAGAATTGCAGTCTTCTCAAGACCTATGATACCATGCTTCGTCAGCTTTTTAAGAAGAATTTCATGTTCGACGGTGTGAAGAGCTTTTTTGAGGTCTATGAACACCATCGCTGTATACAGAAGCTTATCCATATTAATATACTAATTGTATTGTATTGTATTGTATTGTTTTTTATTGTATCGTATTGTAATGTATTGCATTGTATTGTATTGTTTTCATTGTATTGTATTGTATTGTATTGTATTGTTTTTTATTGTATCGTATTGTAATGTATTGCATTGTATTGTATTGTTTTCATTGTATTGTATTGTATTGTATTGTATTGTTTTTATTGTACTTTGGTTTACTGTATTGTATTGTATTGTATTGTACTTTGGTTTACTGTATTGTATTGTATTGTATTGTATTGTATTGTATTGTATTGTATTGTATTGTATTGTATTGTAAATTATTTAATTCTAGTTTTTACAATAGTGAATATACACTAATTAAGACTAACATGAAGCAATTTCAAGCATTGCATAAGACAGTTCATTTACTGCAAAACGAGCATGTGCACTTGTTTTCAAGGAACCAAGTTTTGATCAAATTCTTAAACTGTCTTGTATTTTGTGCTGTCTTTATTGATTCCGGAAGTGAATTCCAGATTTTAGGCCCTTGAAACCTCAATGATCTGATACCATTATTGGTAGTTCTGGCTTTTGGAATGTCGTTCATACAGTTGAGTGACAACAGAGTGTAGCGATTTAGACCCAGACTTTTTGGGAAAAAAAACCTGTTTTTGTCAAGGAAGTAGTAGAGTTGGTTGTAAATCAGCTTTTCGAAAACCCTGGACGGAAACGACAGCAGCAAGGTCTTTTGAATGAACTGAGCAACTCGTTAACATTCTTCTCCGTGCTACTTAAACCCATTGGCTGTAATATGAAGGCTTTGAGCCATTCAATGGAAGTCGTTCAAAAGGTCGATGCAAGTTCAAGGGTTATCCATTCAAAATTGGGTTTGAATTGAAACAAGGCCTTGGATTATCGTGAGGATATTTGTGGTATCAAAAGTCTCAGGTGTCCTGAAGTCTGGCTGGTGTCAATGACAGTATCCATGGCAACAAATACCACGCGAATGGAGGCCTTTTGTGACAATGTCTTAAGGCCCCGTTACACGAAACGATACACAACAAGAATGATGTTTTCTAAGCACAATAATTTATTCTTTGAATATTCTTCCTTGCATTTCGATAAAACGGGGCAGTGGCATGCTCCGACAGGACATGAATGGGGAATTAAAGCGTCCCTTCTCTCCACTAGCTTACAGGTCCAGCCTGACCCACCTGGTTCCACCTGGCAGGGTTCCCTAGCTCAGGGCTACGAACGATGGCCAACGGCTAACTCAGCAGGAGACCAGCAAAGAGGGCAATGAGCTACAACTCCAGGGGTCAACAGCTTTGGGCAGAAGAACTCTTGGAAAGAGGGATGGTGTCCTTTTAAAACACTGTAGAGGTGGTTCTGGGGGCCCATCTCTACTATTAGCCCCTTAGTTTTATCTTTGACCATGACAACAAACCGAAACTCAGATTTTGGGATAGTTGGAGGTTTATGGTAGCCAACCTTCCGATAGAAGATGGTGCCTGATGATGATTATTCCGATGAAGAATTTTTCAAAGACTAATCCATTTGCGTCATCGTCTTATTGTTTGAGTATTCTTGTCAAGGTGAATAAATTGAAACTAATTTGATTTTGATCCTGACTTGAAGAATATTCGGACAATAGAAATGCGGGTGTGAACTCTTTTCTGTGCTTTGGTACGCAACTTGAGCAACAGACAGGAGTGAATATGGATCCCGGTGATTCAGGCACCGCACACCAGTCTAAAAGAAGTGGGTGGGCTGAGAAGGGTGTGACCGAAAATTTTCCGAGGCCACACTCTTTTGAACGCTTGAAAACGCCCCTTTTAGAAAATACTTGCTTCTTTCCATTTATTCAGAGAAGATAATAATTACTATGAAATAGATTAACAAGATAAGACGCCAAAAAAATTAACAAAAATGGGTTCCCAGTCAAGAAATGCTGCTACATCTTAGGGTCCGTTAAAGTAAACTTATCCAGAGTTGCGCTAGAGTAAACTTCTAAAAATTTCTAACCCGTTATAGAGTACCGAAGTGATGACGTCATAAAAATCTATTTTTAGAATTTCTGAATTTAGATCCCAGAACCTGAGAGTGCATCAGGAATTACCTCTAAATCTGCAAAATCAGTTAAAAGCATTACGAATTGGCTGAGATATGGCCACTTGAGCACAGGCTCTTGCCCCATCAAACCTCTGTAATTTGATCTTAGTTCATAACTTTGTGAACCAGGCCAGAATAACAGTAATCCGTTAGCAAACTTGAAATCTTTCATTGGCCATATCTCGCCCACTTTGGAACATATCTAACCAATTTTGCATATTGAAAAGGATTTTATGCTGTACTTTCAGATTATGTGGCCAAGTTTAAGAAATTCTAAAAATAGATTTTTGATGACGTCACACTTCGGTACTCTATTGCAAAAAGTGGGAGGGCTTTAGCCCCTGCTAGCCCAATGGCTGGGCGTTGCCTGCGGCGAATGTCCTCGAGATCTTGTTAGAATATTCTTGCAGGAAAGAATTGCCAAAAAATTAAAGCCCCAACTCGGTAAGGCAGCTTTTGTTACGTTCCAGACGTTGTTGTATGTTCCTTTTTGACATAGCCCGGTAAACATGGCGATGGTATGGCCAATGAACGCGAGAAAGACCAATAGAAAACGAATTAAAGTAGCATTATCGAGCACCAACTTATTCCTTTCATGGAAAGGTCTCCAAAGCTTATGAATATTGTCTGGAGGTAGACTAGACTTGCTCCAAGTCTATTTCATGCTTGAGAGAGGAGTATTTGTTTCCCTACTGTTGACTTCTGCGAAGGAGACGCACGGACGGAGAAGGAAAAAGCAAAGCAGACTGGAAACGACGGGGCGTCCACCATATGAGCAGGTCAGAGAGAGTTTATTCTTTCTTGGCAAGAATATTCTAACAATGGAAAGATGTGGTGATAAGATTATTCTTTGAAAAATTCTTCATCGGAGTACAAGCAAGAATAATAACAGAATATTTTTCCTTGTTGAATATTCTTTCGTTTAACCGGGCCTTTATAATGTCGCATCAAGTTGTATAGTATTTCACACGTGACAAAACCAGTGAAATCTCAGAAAACCTTTCACGGTGAGGAAAGTCCCTACCAGGAGGGACGGATTTAAGCAACAATAACTGGGGTTTTTACACACTAATTGGAACTTGGACCTTCAGGTCACTGGGAAATGATAGAAACGCCCCTTTTCAAAATTAGGTTTTTAACTTTTAGGTAAAGAAGATAAACAAAGTAAAATTTTGGAGTTATTTTGTTACTGCTGACTACCAAGAAATCATTTTTACGGAAAGGAAGCAAAATTTACCGAAGGACGCAGCAATATCTGGAGGGTGTCGCACCCCCACATCTCCGCTCAATCCGTCCCTGCTTACCGGAGAGTCCCCCTTCGGAAATTTGAATGACCAGACAAGTTAGGACGGCACGCTGTAGAGAACTTCTAGAAGCCACACCCTCCAGGAGGAGGAAAGGGAAGGATCTTTTTCAAATCCTCGTTCAAAAAAGGGTATTTCTGTGACTATTTTCGAACTATATTGTTGGCACTTAAGAAATGTGACAATCGATTTTTGACCACAGGCCCAAATTGCCAAACAATGGAGAAAATAATGGAGACTGGCAAACAGGGTAGCACAACAGCTAACGACGGTCCTAGAATTATCCACAAATTTTTGTTGCACGAATAAATATGCCTCCAGAAAATATTTCTTTTGACATAACATTAAATCAGTGAAAGAAACCCAGAAAAAAGTAAACAAGAGTTGCTTAATACGAAAATATGAAATTAAAAACTAAGCGACTCTTAATTAAGTTGAAAAGATGGAGTGACGTCACTCTTATGGCTACAACATTAATGAAATAAAGACAAGCGAAAAACGGTTTCAAGATCCGTTGTTTAACGACAAATGGACAAGAGAAGAGTTGTGAAAATACTCACTTTTCTAGTTTGTGAGAGAAAGAATTAGATTAGTTGCGAGAATTGGAGGATGCTACAGGAAGCAAGGGGGCATACCCCCAACTTTTTGATAGGCAGATAAGGGAAGGTAGGCAGGCAGGATGAGTGGAAGTAAGGGGAGAAGAAGGCATGGGGTATGGAATCAAAAGGACAGTGACGTATAGGGGCTAAAATATGAAGAAAGTTAATGGCGATATTTATGAGGGGAGTATTGTTGAAGAGGGACGAAAAATCGTGGTGATGCAAGGGGAATGTCTGAAAAGCTAAATCGAAGATAGGAGAAGGCATGGGGGTATGGAATGGAAAGGACAGTGAGATAGAGGGGCTAGAATATGGAGAGAGAGAATGGCGATATCTATGAGGGGAGTATTGTTGAAGAGGGACGAAAAATCGTGGGGTTGCAAGGGGAATGTCTGACAAGCAGAATTGAAGATAGAAGAAGGCAAGGAAGTTTGGCAGTGAGATGAAGGAAGATAACGGCATAGAGGAGGGGGCTAAGAAGGAGATTTAGGGTTTTTTAAACCTTGAGGGTGCAGAAAGGCTGAAGGGCTAATGGGAAGCAAAATTATAGGCAGGGTGAAATCAAGGGGTTTTTAACTGTCTTATAATATAAACATACTGGTCTGCAGAGTATGGCAAATACAAACGAGATCAGTTTAGCGGCGAAGGCCTTAATTTGATATTATGCATCAAATTAAGAGTTTCAGTATTGTGGAAAACTTTTTTCTTGGCTATATTGCTGGGAAAACGTGCTGGGAAGGCGGCAAAAACAGCGAAAATACATTCGCGCGCGAGATTGCGTGGAGAATCGTCATACTCTGCAAATCCGTAAATATATACATAACCTATCACTTTAAACTCGAAAGGAGAGAATGGTCCATTATCATGTCGTTTATCAAATGTTCGTTCCCTAAAAGTAAGCAAGGAAGGAGATTCACCGCTTAGAAATGTTATAGTAAGTGATACTAACTAAGTTAATTTACTTTTGAATTCAAGGGAATAGGAATCTCAATTTGGACGCAACAGATTTGTCCTGTCCTGGGCATCTACTAATCTGATTGGGCACAACCTGACAGCTGTCAATCAATAGATAGCGAATGAGATAGAGGACTGTGATATTGACCAATAAGAACTGCTATCGTGTTCTTGGAATATGCTAGAACACGATGAGCTCACAACACTTACGTCAGCTGTTGAAAGGGATGTGGAACTGAACCAAAGCACAGCATTTATGTTGAAACCGGGGTGGGGGACAATAATCTCACAGCACACCCCCTGACTTTGGTCAGATAAAGAGAGGGGTATTAAACATAGCTTAAGTGTAGCATTCATGTTGAAACCGAGGGACGATTACCTTACAGCACACCCCCTTACTTTGGTCAGCTAATGAAAGGGGGTATTAAACGTACTTAAGTATAGCACTCATGTTGAAACCGAGGGACGATTACCTTACAGCACACCCCCTGACTTTCGTCAGCTAATGGAAGAGGTAATAAACGTAACTTAAGTATGTAGCCTTCATTGTAAACCGAGGGATAGGGGAGGTACGGTGAAGACAAGGAATTGCATCAACGATGGATCTGTAAAAAGCAGGCAGGATTTGTCCTAAACGCCTGCCCAGCGACAATGTGTCACTAGATTTCCATCGCATTACAACAAAACAGTTTTATGTACAACAGAACATTTTATAAACAGCTAATTCATGGTCACCAGGATTCATCGCCGCCTTTCTTTCCAACGTTCATGTATGAGTCAAGCTCGCTATCAAGATCTTCTTTTGATGGCTTCGATCCACTGGCATTCCCATTTGCCCCTCGTCCACGCCCCCTAATGTTTCCCCTTCCACGGCCACTGTTGAATCCTCTTCTTGCACCTCTTTGTCCACCTCTTTGTCCACCTCGCTGTCCGCCTCTCTGTCCACCTCTCGGCGAAAACCCACCGCGCGATCCACCACCTCGCGGACCACCACCGCGCGGTTGACTAAATTGTCCGCGTCTTGCACCTCTTCCCCATTGTGAGAATCCTCTACGTGATGCGACATTTCCGCGGCCACTGCTAGGAATAACTCCAAGTCTAGATTTTGTTGATACAGCGCCAAGGCGGTTTTTCACGCTCCCGGAAGCCTCAGGCTGTCTAGTTTCATCCAAGCGCCGTGACATCTGTTCTGCCAGTCGCTTATTCTTTGCGCTTGCTTGCGTCGCTTGCGCCTGTCCCGCGCGAACTTGTTGAACAGAACTTGGTTTTGCCTTGGTTTTCATTATATCCGAGAACCTGTTGTTTAGATAGCGAAAAAGCAAAAAATTTAGTTAAAAAATATACTCAAAGCTGTTTTAGTTGGTATACTAGTTTTTTGAAAACAAAGCTTGTTACCAAACCTGTTATATTTTCTTCAAAAGCAAGTCTGGTTAACCAGCTGTTGAAAACACAGACATAGAAGCACCATGAAATTGTGAGGACCTTAATTTTTTTGGGTGCATTTTTGGCAGGTATCAACTAGTTTGGATTTTTTTTATTTTTTATTTTTTTCAATTATTTAAGCATAGCAGCCCATTCAGCAATGCTGGTTTACAAGGGGTCATGCATCTAGACTAAAAGAAAAACTAACATAAAATAGACTGAAGTAGTTACAATAGATCTAAACACATAACATAACATATGTAAGATGAAATACATAACACAATCCCTTCCAACCCACCCTACCCTCACAATCTCGATAAAAACCTCTGCATGGAGCACCCTGTCATTTTTTTATTCATGTACATTCTCTGTGTTTGTGCCAAAAGTTACGTACATGGCTTAGAATTGCTTCAGTTTGCTTACTATTTGATTCAAACCGAGCTACAACCTTCAGAGAAAAGGGCTGAATTATCTCAAGAGCTGAATTTTCTGAAAGAGAATACCTAAGAACCACAACTTTTCCCGCAAACAACAAAAAGGGGTCTCTGAATGTCTATGGGGCAGAGTCTGGGCCCTAGAGACTAAATATATATATAAAGATTTGAAAAAGTACTTTCACAAAAACATGAATAAATTTTGATGAAAAGATTACTTTACAAAATTTCCAAGACAAAATCTCTTATGACACTTAACACAACTTTTTTTGGACACAGGTAAAAATGGCTTACAGCCACTTGATCACGAGCGGTTGACCAATCAAATTGCGCACAGAGAAAAACAGGTTAACAGTTTCTGCCTTTCTGCAAATCGGTGAAATCCTAAAGCAGCGTGCAGTGGTTTCACGTGAACAGTTTCAAATTTTTTTCTTGTGTGCTTGCTCTGATCAATTTGGCCTAAGTTATTTTTGGATTTGATGTCCTTAAGCATGTCAAATGCCTTTAAGTATAAGACAAATACAATTTTTTGTTTTAAGAAAAACTTTCTAGGTACATCATTTAAATTGACCTCGATGAGGTTTTGTGTGGCAGGGTTAAAAATTAGTTTACTTGACTTCTACTATTTTCATATCTTTTTGCATCACGTAATACCACTTCATGTGGCAATAGGTTATTTTTTGTCCTTTGCATATTTCAGAAAAATTCTCTAGCACAAGGTTCTGGGAACCCATAAAACAGCAAAAATTCAGAGTGCCTTTCATTTAGAAAATCATAAACAGACCTGATTATGATAATTATAAAGATTTACATAGTGAAATTATTAGGTCACCTTTTTTCGAAAAAGCCATTAAGGGCTAGAAGCTACAGCTAAATGCATATTTTAGAAAAATTCTCTAGCACAAGATTTTGGGAACCCATAAAACTGCAAAATTTCAGAGTGCCTTTCATTTAGAAAATTATAAACAGACCTGATCATGATAATTATAAAAATTTACATAGCGAAGTTATTAGGTCACTTCTCAAAAAAGCCATTAAGGGATAGAAGCTACAGCTAAATGTATAATTTTCTCTTTATTTCATTAATCCATATTTCTTTCCTGCTCATAAGTTTGGCTTTGTAAGATTTAGCAGCAAGCAAAACTCATCACAGACAAAAACATATGGCTGATCCTAAGCTATTTAATCCATTAACAGATTTTAGCTTTTTTTGAATTCTAGCAAAAATCAACTTTTTAATTGCTAATAATCTATGAAATATTATTAGTTTTCAGAATTCAATTTTGGTTGGTGATAGAATCATGCAAAAATATGAATCTAATAAAGAATGATGAAATTAACAAGATGATAACTTAGACCAACGTACCTGTCGCTTAGAGTCATGGTAGTGGTGCTTTTAAGCACGATCTTTCCCATGTTCATACTCATCTCCTGTCATGAAAAAAACATATTCAATCCAAGAAAAATTAGCATCAAAGAAGAAAGTTATAAAGTTTCTAAAAGGCTAAAGATAATATTTATATATATTTTTTATTATAATATCCATTAAAAAGTTACAATACATAAATACAAGCTACGCTACTTACAAATTTACTTTACAATACTACTCGGACGATACCCAGAGAAGCAAAAGACTATGACTACCCCGGGGCCATAGACACAGAGGATAAAATGAACTACTATAGTCTGTCTCAAATTACATGCGACAAGAAGTGTCTGCGATCAATTCGAATTTAAGAAGGGTGGTTTAGGTATCATCGCAACTACTGCTATATTTATATATAAACAATATGAAACTGAAAAAGTTGTCCTTTGCTTATCTTCTCAGAAAATTGTTTCATTATTTTAAAAATTATTATGTACAAAATATACTCAAAGCCACGCAAAATGCATGTGCACTATTTTTGTACAGATGATAAACGGGCAACATTCAAAAATTCACAATTTTAAATTTGCTTATTTTCCTCGTACAATGTCACCTTATTTTCAATTTGTATTGTCACATTATTTTGTATGACATGCAAGCTAGTACTATTTTGTAATCTTTTTTAACACCAGAGCACTTAAAGGGGTACCAAAGCACTAAGAGGGGCACCAGAGCACTAAGAGGGGCACCAGAGCATTAAAAGGGGCACCAGAGCACTAAGCGGGGCACCAGAGCACTAAGCGGGGCACCAGAGCACTAAGAGGACAGTCTTTGGGCCAAAACCATGCACAAATGATGCTGACAAAGAAAATATTTTTCTTCTACAAATTACCATTTCGTTATTTTGTCAGCACAACTATCCCCTGTTTTTGTCATGTTTCTGTTGGAGGTTCTCAAGGTTGCTCTCTAGCGAGAGGACTGATACACAATTTTTGGGACACTTGTTTACAAGGATTAGAAAATAACTCAAGCTAAAACAAAAACTTTTCTTAAGGGCAATAATTTTCTGAGGTCAAATTGGCAGAGATTCTGTGGGTAGCAAATCCAGTTAGTTAACCAAAGAAATTATTCTCATCAACCAATATTGCTATCAAGGTTTTTCTGTTTTCATTTTTCATGAAAGGAAAAAAATGTTGGGGAGGGTATCCCTAAGCTGGATAATTTTCAATTTTTCTATTGTGTATATTTAAATGCTTGTGATAATTCTGTATATTTCCTTTGATTCTAATGCTGTACTCAAATGAGGGTAGTAAACTTTAATTTTCTGTGTCTAAAATGTTGTGCCAGTAAATCATATTGATTGATTTTAAAATTTTGAAGTTCTGTGTTTTTTCTGAAATTGAATTTTTAACTTTTTTGTATTGATGTCTGCTGAAGTTCTTGAATTTTTCAGATTGTTCCTTAGGCATATACAGATGTACAATGATATTTTAAAGAGATGGATTGCCTAAATCTTAAACCCTATTCATTAAGATTGTGGAATATACAACACTTAGACTAACAAGATTGGAGGACATCATTTATTTTCACAACTTTCTTAATCTTGATTTTGTTAGGTCCTTAAAAATAATTACAGGAAATTGTAAGATTCTGAACAAAAACCATCAATTTAAAGAGCTGGTCTTCACAATATTGTTGCTTCCTTGTATATTGATGATCAAACCACACATAAGATAGCAGTTGATGTAGCATTCATGCCTAGAAAATTACATGGAATCCTTAAAGTAGTTTGGGTTTTTGATTTAATATTATCTTTTCCTTTTCTGGGAAATAACTACTTCTACCTTCCTCTGTTTTGATTCATTTTCAAAAGAGTTCTCAAGTGTGACATCACAAAAAAACTATTTTTTTAATTTTTGAATTTTGACCAGATAACATGAAAGAACACCATAAAATACTCCAATGTATGCAAAATTAGTTAAATTGGTCAAAAATCGGGTGAGCTGTGGCCAATAAAAGATTCGAAGTTCACTAACAAATTACTGTTATTTTGGCTCAGTTCATAAGAGCATGTATCAACTGTTAATGCTGGTAGTGGCAGATATTTCTTTATAGGAAACAAAGGTCGATTTTGAGTACTCCAGTTTCTTAATGTTCTGGAAATTTTAATACTCGTTGTTTCTTAAGAGTTTCTTAATTATGATGTCATGAAAGATGTTGTGAAATGCTCATGACCTTTTTCATCACATCAAGAGATTGGCTTCCCTTCTGATACTGTATTTAGATGTTGAAAGTATATTTTTATCCCTTGTGTCTTAAGTTCTAGGCCAACAGGGCAGTATTGGATTTTACAAAATTTTGTTGTTCTTAGTTTTATCATAGATTTCATAGTTTCTTAATTTTTGGCTTAGAGTTCTGAAGTTTCTTAATTTTTTCTGACTGTGCAGTACTCGTTCTTTATAGCCAGATTCCTATTAAAAATGAGTATAGTTCGTTTCAAAACTTGCGAAAATTTCATCAGCAAGAAATTGGGCCTAAATAAATATTGCAAATAAAGAAATAGCTGTTGACCTAGAATTTAAGAACATTGTTTGCCTATGAAAGGTTGCAATCTTTAGGTTACTTGATCGAATATATATCCCCTATTAAAGCATACGGCAAAAGAATAGTCTTCTATATCCAGTTTTGGTTTTATGCACGAACGATGTCAAAAAACACCAACAGAAAATATATGTTACTCACGGAAAAACCTTGTTAGGAATCAACTTAGTCCTATCTGCAAAAGTAGATAACATAAAAAGTAACCTTTTCTATCAGATATCTCCATTTAAACAATGGCGACAGCATTAGATTGTATTTTGAACATACATCTAAATACTGTCTGCTCCACAACCTCCTAAACGACAGAGTCAACTCCAGTCGCTTAGACGAGAAAACAGTTGACAAAATAACCGAACAACTGTTGATTAAAGACGAAATATAAAATGAGTCATGAAAAAAATCATATCTACTTACGAAATATGTGACTTTCGGTCCAAGGAAACCTTCTCCTCTCTTGATCAATTCGGATGTTTTGCGAAACCCTCAAAACGGTTTTGAAATTTCAAAATGGCGACAGGAGCTTCGGGTGTTTGGGAGGCTGGTGTTGGCTTCGAGGTTCCCCGGCGTGCTTTTCCACATTTCCAGGAAAAAGATACGCTCAAGTTTTTCGTCAAATTATGGGGCGAACGGCATAATCAGTTAGATTTCATTTATTTACATATGTTTCTTTTTCTGCTATGGACGCTTTTTTAACGAAAGGAGATCTAAACAACAAATTTCAAATAACTTAAACTCTTTTTTGTAAGAACCAGTAAGTTTAAGTTCAGGCTGACTGTTCGTAATTTTTTCTAAAATCTGAGGCTGGATTGTTCTTGATTTGTTCTTAAATGAATAGGGTGTAAGCAGTGTAATTGCCCGCTATTGTGCTCTAGGGAGGTTTTCAAGACTTAGTTGCCAGCAAAGTGAATGAGACAACCTTTATGAACCTTCATTTGCAGACAGGTTTGAACGTTCACTGAAAAACATCCACACGCATGGCTAAAAATCTTTGTTCTGAGATAAAACGTTGTTCAAAATTACATATTACAGTAGCTAAGCCTCAGCTTGATCTTGATTTGTTCTTAACTTTCGACCAATTTTGAGGCTCGTGTTAATATAAAATTGTTCATATAAAAAGAAGAGTGTAAACGTCTACAAAAGACCAAGTGCTCTTATAAAAAAACGTGTAGAACAGGAAGGTTCTGAGTAGCTACTTCGAGTTTCAAGCTTAATGCGATCATCAGATATTTGCATGCTTTTTACTATACTATTTGTGTACAAAGCATATTGTCAATGAAAATTCCAGTTTACCGGTCTGTCACAAAATGCTCTATTCTGTATAGGCAGAGTTGTACACGCTATTTATAGTATAGAACACGGGTTTCATGCTTAATGCAATCATTAGGCAACTGCGCGAACAATTTAAAATGTCTTAGAAAAATCAATTCAACTGATATTTTTCGATTCTTTGAGCGTGCCTGTAGGGCTTCGAAAAATTAATTTGCAAAAAATTAAAGGAAACAGGGGACTTTTAAAATTCGTAGCATAAAAGTTTTGGTGATTTCGATGGTATCTCAATAATTTTGCCCAAAAGTGTGCGACTAACAATTATCATCATCAGGTACCATCTTCTATCAGAAGGTTGGCTACCATGACCCTCCAACTATCCCAAAATCTGAGTTTTGGTTTGTTGTCATGGTCATAGATGCAATTAATAGATATTAAAAGACCTGTCAATCAACAATTGACCAATCAATGAGCGAGATTCAACTCAGACGGCTTTGATTGGTCTCGAATGATTGAGAGGTCTCAAACAACTTGCCAATCAATGAGCTAGATTCAACTCAGACGGCTTTGATTGGCCTCAACTGATTGACAGGCCTCAAACAACTGGCCAATCAATGAGCGAGATTCAACTCAGATGGCTTTGATTGACCTCAAATGATTGACAGGCCTCAAACAACTTGCCAATCAATGAGCGAGATTCAACACAGACGTCTTTGATTGACCTCAAATGATTGACAGGCCTCAAACAACTGGCCAATCAATGAGCAAGATTCAACTCAGACGACTTTGATTGGCCTCAAATGACTGACAGACAATTAAAGCCATTTTAATATCTGTCGAATGCCTCTTAACATTAAAATATTTTCGATAACAGAGAATACTCTTCTGGATGTTAATCACAGAAATAAAACACAAAACAAGGGCAAAAAACTGAGGGATTAAATACAATTATTATGACATGTATCGAAGATTACATTGTTATTAAAAGTATTTAGACGTTTCTAGCGAAGGCACTGTATCATGTTCTTTCAAAATGGCTGCCCAACTTAGGCCATACCTGTTAATATACTTGTCGTACAAACACATAACATAGCAAATGCTGTGGTATGCTAATATGCACTGGAATTGAGGGGTGCTTGAAGAGAATCAACGGACATATCCCAGCGTCCTAAGAATGATTTCAAATCCTGTTCAATTTGAATTCGAATTTAGCTGTATCAAAGTTTTATGGAGTGTCTGTTTATAGAAGAGAAATTTTTCATGAATGGTTGAATGATCTACATTTACAACCGTTCGAAACAATAACAACAATAAGGACTGTGTTTTCTATTTTTGATAGAGATTTGGAGATGAGGGCCTACAGTGAATCAAACGATTCGGGTTGACAAAATTTTTGATAACAAGGATCCGACATTAAAACTTTATAAACCGAAATCTCCATAAAGTGGAAAAAAAACTTCAGGAAGTTATCCGTTATTTGTTTGGTGTTGCTAAGCTATTAAGGGGGTCGCCTGAAATAGAAAGAGGCTAGACAGGGACGCAGGAACGACCAAGGGGCAAGGGGGCAGGCTTGAGTAAAAGGGCATTTGAAAAATAATTCCCGGCTACTAACAATCCTTTCGAAAATGTAATTTCGTTTACATCTTCTATTGATCTTAAGTATATTGAAAATTGGCTAGCTTTTAGCATAATAAATTTATTTACAAGTTTTGAGAAATGTCGTCATGAACAAGGCAGTACAGTCAGGATTTCGTACGAATCTCTTGATAATTACAAACGGCTGTTGCCACGGGCAATTCTATGAAAAGGCCTCCTTGTCCCTCCTATCAAAAGGCAACCGGGGCGGTTGACCACCCGCGCCCCCTTCTCCGGCGTCCCTGGGGCTAGAAGCTCTCTCCCTTCCTAGCTATGTCTAAATAATGATATCCTAAACAATGGAAAGGAACTAATTTAGGCGAAGAATGTGCGTTTAAAGGAAGGTGAGAAATTTTGCCCCATGTTGGGCGCCATTGGATGAGTCGTTTGAGCTTGATAGAATTCGGTAAATAGTTATATGACAATATACGGAAAACCTAGAATTCCATCTGGCTTAGAATATCTGTTGATTAGAGGTGTCCGCTACTGACAGGTGTCCGCTACTGAGAGGTGTCCGCTACTGAGAGGTGTGAACTAATGGTATTCTCAAACTAACCTGTTAATGTTTTTGTTTTCACAAAGTTTAGGTATGCAGTCTTCTTTAAACTAAACGCCATCTTGATTTAACATAATACATTGCCATGGTTACGGATGCTAAGCAACAAATCGAAAATTCTATTCTGCAAATTATAAGAGCAGCTAATTGATCAAATATGAAGTCTTAATTTTAAAATAAAATGACTAACAAAAATAAAGATAAGTTCCAAAGATATAGACATTAAATATAATTAAAGAGCTAAAATGAATCTATTTATTGTCATGTAATATGTATAAACTTTGTCTTGCACTGAGAGCTTGCTTATGCGGGCATATGATGACACTCAAAGGAATGATAGTTTAGTATAAATATTAAAAGAGAAAAACAACAAATTTAGTCTATTGGATGAGTAAACTCGCCATCCTTGTAGTCAACGTGCATGCATGTTGACAGGAATCACCAATACGCATGCTCGTTGAATGCAAAGACAGGGAGTCCTGACTCATAAGAAAACTTTCTCACCGCCCGACCAAATATGTTATAACAAATAATACAATTAACGATACAAGTTTTTAAATTATGTATGGCGGAAATTAACATTCTATCTTTTAAGACTCCCTGGTACAGATTCTTCATAAATTCAGGCCATGCGTTGGACAAAATGGCTTGGTTGTCTCTGTCTCCCTAAATTGGCCTTTCATTATGGTATAAATAGACTGTATTTATTACTGAAATGACGTCATCTCAACAGCGATTAGCATTTCACAAACTACAGTAAGTATAAATATACATGCTACACTGATAGCGATATTCGGCTCGGTGGACCATTGAACTTTTCTATCGTTCTTTAACCAAGCTGTAACCCAGGAAAAGGGAATTTGCAGGGACCTTAAGACCAGAGCACCTTAGTACTGAAAATGTTTCTATCAGATAAGGTGTTAACTCTAACTAAAGGTGAATCCTAGTTGATAAGGTGACTACTACTAGATAAGGTGGTTGTGATGGAGATCTGGTATGGAGGGACATTCAGTATTTGTAGAATTGCCTTCCATAAACTGCCGTACGGAAAAATGAAGTAGTATGTTAGGTTTTCTTAAAAGTTAAGTGGTGTCTTTCAAATTAAGGAAGCACCAATCAGTTAAGGTGGATTTTAATAGTCATAATCAAGGCTTTAATGGCAAAGAGAGATATTTGCCAAGTTTTCAACCATTTACACTAGTGTGTAAGGTGGTTGAAATTACAGATAGATGAAATAAGATGAAGGTGGAGAATAAGATGAAGGCGGTGAATTAGATGAAGGTGGCAATTTAGATGAAGGTGGCAATTTAGATGAAAGTGGCGATTTAGATGAAGGTGGCGAATTTGTATAAGGTGGCGTTGTTAGGATAAGGTGGCGTTTTTTTTCGAACGGTGAAGATTTCAAGCGCAACATTTCTGGTATTTATTATTGCACATCTGAGGAGAAAAAAGGACGTTCGAGTTTTGTCTATAGCAGAAATGATTTCCTGGCCTGGAAGCAAATTTGACTCGACAGTTACGGGCCTAATGCTGGGTTTTGTAATAACGGGAACAGAAACACATGCTAGACGTGACATCAAGTTCGAAAACTCGGTTTACTGTGTGTATATAAAGAGAAAATCCTAAAAACTAAAGATTCATGAAGGAACTAACTGCTTTATCTAACAAAATATTTCTAGCTGGCCAGTCTGATATTGTCCACGAAACAGAAAAATCATCACAAAACAAAGTTTCTTCTACTTTACTGTTCATGCGAGACTTTTCTATCGTTTTTAAAGAAATTGAAAAATGTAGCGCCAGACGGAAGTGACGTCACAGCTAGGTGATAGGACTTCACATAAATTATCTTTTCATATTGGAATACCTGTTTTTTTAACATTGCCTAGCAACTACAAGAATTCTTTCTCTCTTCATCGGCTTCATCAACCTCCCTTAAACGATGGCCTCGTTCTGTACCATTTATAAATCCAGGGGGTAATGTAGACTTATCAACGCATCTTTCCATTTGTTCCATAACCTGTACGGTAAAAAATAACAATCTAACTTTATCTTCAAACAAAAGTTGATCAACTTTTCCAAAAGCTTAGCAACTTTACGGTTTTTCGGATCTAACTTCAGATAAAAGTTCGAGCTTAAACAGCATAACAAGAGTGGAAGGCAAAACGGGACCAAAAGTGGGACAGGCACAGAATATTCCGCGTCATACCCTGGGGTTCAGATGCGTGATGAATGACAGGAATATATCGACAGATGTCAATCAAATAACGACGTTCTATTTCTTTGGATCAAAGGATGAAACCACTGGACAAACATGTCCATCACCAACTTCATTAAAATTCTTTCAATATGCAACTAGCCAGAATTTCATTGATTTAATAAAGAGCTTGTCAATCAAACCAAGCTGCTATTGGATTGGTTGAAAAAATCAGTGAATCAATAATGAGCCTTAATCTCATTGGTTGGAAAGCTTGCAATTCAAACAATTAACTGTTATTTGGACCAATTAAATTTGGGATTCTTAATCACTTGCCATAGCAAAAAATTTTCCAATTCCCCGTATTCTTTGACTGTGCACTTGTAAGTCTGTGACGTTCCTTGGGGGGTAATCAGCTTGCTTAAAGTTTGTTTAAAGAACACTTTTAGGACATTTTCTCAAGCTACGTCATAGACTAACGCGTGCACTTTCAGAGTATTTCGTACTTTCTCAATTTTTCGCGTCTTTTATTTCTTCCCTCAAAGTCACATAAATAAATTTTGTGTTGCAGGAAGTTGCACGAATCAATCTTTCGTTTTTTAGGCTATAAAGCACGAGATTTTCTTCCCGCATAGTTTTTTAACCTAAAGTGACATAGATATATAAGTAATATTTTCAGAAACATATTTCGCATTTCAGGAGCTTTCGCCGATGAAAATTTTGCAATTTTAGGCCAAAACGCGAATGTATCTTTCCGCAAAAATTAATACCACGAAAGTTTCATCCCTTAAAATGATAAATAAGTAACAATGAAGAAAACACGACAATAAAGGCCGATTTCCACTTGACATTTTTTGTGCGCGCGGGCGTAGCGCCCAAATCTGAGCATGCGTAGCTAAGTGCTGCTGTCAAGTGGCCGAGCGCACTTAAAGTTGAGACCCTATCAACTTTCTGGCGCTCACAGCGGACGCAAAATCGAGACCACTTTATTTTAACTACGCATGCTCAGATTTGGGCGCTACGCCCGCGCGCACAAAAAATGTCAAATGGAAATCGGCCTTAAGACTGAATAAACTAAGAACATACCAAATCCAGGAGCGAGTCAATAGCAAACTCAACATTTGTGCCAGTGGCTGCACTTGTTTCAAAGTATTTAAGTCCTAAGCTATCTGCGAGAGCCCGCGCATCTTCCTCGTCAACCCGCCGTTGATCCACGAGGTCTGCCTTGTTTCCGATTAACACTGAAAAAAAGCACAGAAGAATGACTTAAAATCTTTTGACGGTGCTAAACTCAACAATGGCTTTCAAGAAAACAACCATTTCGAATCATACTAAAGCGTTTTGTCCGCCATTTTTCAGAGTTTTGTCCGCCATTTTTCAGAGTATAAAACGTCAGAACAAAGATTTAGTATGATTCAAAATGTTTTCCTTGTTCAAAGCCATTCTTAAGAATGATTAACTTCTACGCAAAGCTTTGTTCAATCATGTGTTCTCCACTAGTATTAGCTTGTTTTTCCTAAGAATTATAGCATGAAATTTTTCAGGGTTTGCAATCATTTCATTTTGTTCTATCCATGATAAGGCGATTCCCGTTTCTTTTTGCAAGGTATTTACAAGATCACGCATGTTTCTAGAAAAATAAGAAAGTGTATTGTCGTCTGCATAATTATAGAGCCTTGCTTGTTTTATGAATAGAAATAAGTCATTTATGTAAAAATTGAACAGGACTGATCCTAGCACAGATCCCTGGGGTACACCAGACACAACCTCCTGAAAAGAGCTGTATGAATTGTTTATCCGAACACACTGTTTTCGTCTTTTGAGATAGGAATAAATTAGAGCTAGATTATCTTTAATAAATACATACGCATGTAGTTTGGCGATAAGCTAATCATGTGGGATACAATCGAAAGCTTACGAAAGATCCATTAAGACTGCACCAACGAGATAGTCATTGTCAAGGCTAGTCTTCCAGTCTTCTATCAAACGTATCAAAACATGTTGGGCTGCATACGTTTGTCGATACGCAGCAATGAAGACTGAAAGCGTGTAATCTAAATGTTGAACCAATTGATTTTTTAAGACTTTTTCATATATCTTTTTTTATTATAGACTTTTACAATAAGACTTTTTCTTATAGACTTTTCATATATGAAAAGGTATTGAGAACACTAACTGGGCAGAAATTTTTTTCTTATGTACTAGCATACCATTGGCTACTACCCCGTGCTATAGCACAGCGTAGATTCACGTTTATTGCTACAAACCCCATAGTATTTAGAAATATTCTCTGTACTTCTTGTATACCACCGCAAGTGTAGCACAATCTCCCTTTTTACATAAGTTTCATACTAGCGTGCCTTGAGGAATTATATCATAGTATTCAGTACATTGTAGGTAAATAATGGTGATTTTAAGTTGTGTTAAACTAAATTTATATGTGACATTGATAAGATGTTAGTTTATGCATATTGTTGGGACATTAAACATCTCTTGTGTTTTCAAATAGATACTGTTTATTTTCTTGACATTCTTCAAGAGAGAATAGAGTTTTAAAAGCAATCTGTCTCGTTGTGGATTGGTTAACGAGAACAATAGCTGGAACAATAGCCTAAACACGATTCCAGCGCTCCGCCATATTTTTTACAATGCGATAAATTAAAGGGGGACTGGAAACAATAAAAAATCCCTTTGTTCCTATAACCAATCAACATCGTGACAGATTGCCTTTAAGGAACACTCCCTCGCTCTGTAATAAACTCTACGCGTTGTTATCGATCAACGTGTTAGCCCGGATTCTCGACATGCCATCGTTGTCTTAAATTAAGTACAAAAACCACACTGAACAGCAAAAGACATTTTATTTAAATCATTAGTTTGATTAAGAATAATTTGGGTTTGAGAGATGCTCAAAAGCATATGGAAATTAGAGCCAAAATTTAATTAGAGGTGCACCTAATTATGCTGTTTTTCCATTTTCTCTAATAGCATTGGTGAAGAAAGAACAAGTCTTTGGTTTGTGGGCGAGCAAGTTCATAATAGGATGGCTTGTGGTATAGCTTAGAAATTATTTCCACAGGGAACGTCTTAAAATGTTGGATGAATTCTCAAAAGGCAAAATTAAGAAAATAAAATGTTTAACTATTTAAAATAGGGCCCTTGAGGAAACGCAGTAAAATCTCAGTAGGTTGTGGCGAGCGTCTTTAGGCCACAAGAGGAAAACAATTATAAAATCTAGAATCCATGGGTGATGATGCAAGGGTGTATCGTTTTCAGAAGGGGGGGGGGCGGCCAGCGTCATACAATGAGTTACCCCCGTCATTGGAATCATACTGCATGCGCAATAGATGTAGAATTCGACAGATATGCTAACAGAATACATTAAAAACAGGGGGTCGCTTATTAAAAAGCTGGTTCGTCATTCCATCCAAACAAAATGCTTATGTAAAAACTCACCGATCATAGGATCTTCACTATAAGCGTGTGTTTGCAACTGTGAGAGCCAGCTTCTCACATTAACAAAAGACTCCTCGTTTGTAAGATCAAACATCAGCAAAAACCCCATTGCATCCCGGAAGAAAGCGGCTGTAAGACTTCTAAACCTGGAAAACAAAAGTCAAAGAACTTAGAAGGGCCTAAACATAAATAGATAGATAGATAGATAGATAGATAGATAGATAGATAGATAGATAGATAGATAGATAGATAGATAGATAGATAGATAGAT